AATTAGTTCATCCATGTTTGGACTTCTTCTGTGCTGTAAACGCGCAAATCAGTCCGTGCATGATTACATTGCCCCGCCCATCAAAAAGTCTGTGCATGCGTGAATATATCGGCCATCAGCGATTGTTAGACTGACGATTGCTGGTTGGAAGATTTTTACATATCGCCCAACGTTACTGTGGAATATATTATACGTTTGTATATTCCACAGCATGTCTTTATCCTGTCTTCCTTCTCGCACCCCAACCAATCACTTTGTCAGCCCCGCCCCTCCCTGACCTTGTGCTGCTGGAGGTTTCTTCCTGTTAAAAGGGAGTTTTTCCTTCCCACTGTCGCCAAAGTGCTGCTCATAGGAGGTCATATGATTGTTGGGTGTTTCTGTGTTATTGTAGGGTCTACCTTATAATAAAAAGCACCTTGAGGTGACTGATTTGACGCTGTATAAATAAAATTTAAAGTTTGAAATTAATCCAATAAAAAGGGAGGATTATCATAGAGCCAAAAAAAATAAGTCACACTGAAAAACTGTAAATCCCATTACTGATCTCCAGGTAATCACTCAGCTGGCTTATTGTGATTTAAGGAGCTTGAAAAGAGAATCAGCTCAACGAGTTCAGAAGTAGCAGGTGGACGAGCAGCGACATGAGAACAGACTTTTGGGTTTGTAAGGGGCGTGGTTTGAACGACAGGTGGGCGGGGCTTCTGTGCTGACAGACAGGTGTCTCATGTTCTTCCTGACGTCATACAGAGCCAAGAGTAAAGAAAAATAAAAACTTTTGATCATAGGGACCCTCTGCTGATATGTTGAAACACCCACCACAGTGCATGTGAGCTCACACTTATTCACACAGCTGTTAGAGGCTGTTCAGTGTTTGAATGTTTGAATACAAGTTTGCACAAACAGCGTGTGAAGATGTTAAACTCTTGTCTCGAGGTCTGAAAAGTTACTGGATGACTTGACTAAAATTACTTCTTGCAACTCATGGTGTTTGTGTCTAAAGAGCCGGAGCCAAGACCTTAAATATACCAGCATGACTTAAGCTTGAAACTGGACCCCTCATCCCACTTCAGTCCCATTGTACCCCTGCCCACCACAGCCCAGAGAGCACATCTTAGTCACGGAGGCAGCCTGTAACCTTTAGACATGCAGGGACGCATTTACCCAGCGTCTCCCTCAAACTGCTCTGCAATGAAATAAGGTCAAAGACCTCCCTGCAAGAATGAGACTGACACACACACACACACACACGTTACCTGGGCCATTGCCGTTCACGTGCACGGTTTGAGCCATGGGTGCAGCTGCGTGCTCTCAGTCCAACAACAAGACTCAGTGGCGTCATGCAACTGCCATGCAGCAAGTCCAGATTACCATGCAACCTGCAACCTGAGACAGAACACAAAGGAATCCCGTTAGTGACGCACACAGGTGAGCAACAATTAGTGAGAAACAACACAAGGCAACCTTTCAAAGATTAAAAAGTGTCAGTAAAGGAGGTCACTTTGTCCCAGCGGTCAGACTTCAACACCTGGTTCCTTTTTAAAGTTCACATGAGAACAGAGCGCTGGCTTTCTGACCTTCAGTGCAACTTGAAATATGTGAAGTGTGAGTGCACGTATTTGACCTTTTGTTACGCTGAAGCGCGTCTTTGTGGGAGCTGAAGCCCGGCCGGCCTCCGCTCCTTCACAGGTGTGTTTGCATCCTGACATTTCGAAGCACAGAGGTCCTGTGTGCAGTCGCCTGCTCATCATCAATGGACACATTATGGGCAACAAAACAAAAGAGCCGTTGTCATCTTATAAGAAGCTGCAAATATAAGACGAAAACTGGAGTCAGTAGGCCGGGGGGCGGGGGGGGCACAGATGTAGACGAGGTTCGATACAGCTGAAACCTTTGACCTTTACACTGAACACGTGACTCTGACAGCTAGAGATCAAGAGCTCAGCCCCGCAGTGGTAACGGAGTCGAGGACAATCTAAGACTTTTACAATATACTCGGTCTTACTCGATTATCAGGGTCAGTGAGGCCGCATACCTCAGGAACAGGGGTGGGAACTCCAGGCCGGTGTCCTGCAGGTTTTAGAGCTCACCCTGGGTCAACACACCTGAATCAAATGAGTTCATTACCAGGCCTCTGGAGAACGTTTATACTGGACCTAACGGCGCTGAACAAACCAGGACCGAGCTGAGACCTCCAGCAAACACCAGAAACATTTCTGGCGCGAACACTGGCGCCACCGGGCCCTCTGACCACCACCAGTAGGCAACGGGTGAAGTGTCTTGCCCAAGGACACAACGATCGAGACTGTCCAAGCCGGGGCTCGAACCGGCAACCTTCCGATTACAAGCCGAACTTCCAACTCTTGAGCCACGATCGGCCCAGTTTAACGTAACGATGCATATTTAAGTGTTACAAACAAAGTATTTAAACACATCTACCCAACAGCTGCACCTGCTGTGACGACATGCAGCCGACTGCCACAAAATGTGTGTGAGGAACATGTGAAAGGTCACTTTGTCAGTCAGCTGCATCATAAGTAAATCATTGTTCAGAGTGTGCAGCCAAATAAAGCAGCGCCGTAGTGTCATCAGGCCGGAGCCTCTAAGTCCTGACCGTCCGTCACCCCGGGGAGTTATTATAGTCGCGATACAGAGACGACGGATTGAGAGCAGCCTTTGCAGAGCACACAGACCCTTCCAACACCCAAATAGACTGCAGGCATGTTTGTTCTCCTCCCTCACACTTAAAACTGGCTCCAGCATGTCACACAAAAAGAAATGTGTGGAAGAAATGGCCACTAACATTTAGAGATGCATCGATACGACGTCTGGATATCGCTCGGATGGTGTCTGGGTCTGATCTGCTCAGCTCTGTGCTCGGCTTTTGGGTCATTGGGTGAAATAAAATAAAAAATAATATACAATGAATCTGCTGTTTTAGGACACGAAAGCAATTCTTGGATAGAAAAGTCAGAAAGCCATGGACCAAATAAATCAGAGGTGGGGAACTCCAGGAGAGACGAGCATAAAAGGTGGAGCTGTTATTTTATTGGTCAGTTGATCCTCAGGCTCTCCACAGACAGGCTAACGAGCTCCGAGCAGAGCTGCTCCTCCTTCACACCATGAAAGGGATGCTAGGATTACTCGTCATGGCAGACCTGGGTGCTCCTCTGCTAGAGAGCAAGAAAAGGTGTTTGTGGAGGAGGTCAGACTATCGAGCTGTGGGCGGCTGGCCCATTTAAAACATTACGATTACAATGGATGAGCCTGAGCCTGCTAACACTTACTAATGGGACTCAAAGGACTGGACATCCAACACTGATGAACTGAAACTTGAGACAACAGGTAACGAACACAAAGCAAAGGGAAAGGTTTCATGCAGCTGCTCTCCAGCAGCATGAAGCTCAGTAAGCATTTCAACACATACACACATTTTCCTTTTGCCAAGACCATGCAAATTATTCTAACTGAAGGGAAAATGAATAATATACAGACTGACCAAAGATCTCCCACATGTCCTGTTCCATGAGCCGCCAGAACACAAACCTGCAGGAAGTAGCAGGAGAGAAGGAGGCGGAGTCTATTTACGGTTCAGCTTTGCACCACCACTGTGGGAGAAGCCATCAATCCTGGAGTCAGAGCATCAGCCTGCTTTTAATGCACTACTTAAAACGGTCACAGGTCGCTTTTATGAAACAGTTTCCAGGAGAAAATATAAAATAAAGACGCACCAATTTAAAAATCAGCGAGTACTGACTGACATCAATATATCTGCAAATTTGATCCGTTAATGTTTTCCTGAGTAAAGACACTGTGATAAAGAGACTTACAGGAATAATGAAAAAGCGAAACAATAACTCTGCAGGAATGAACAGAATTATGACCTGATAATTCATAAAATAGCAATAAAACTGAAAATAAAAATTTATTTTAAAGGATTATTTCTGACATCATTCATATTAAATCAGAAGTTTAATCAATTAACAACAACCTATAAAAATAAACAGTAATCCAAATAATCCAAACATGATATACTGAGGTAAATACTGAAGTTATGCAAACATTTAGTGTTGCTGAGAGAGAAAAGGAAAGTCTTTATAAACTGAGGCCCTCTTCTTAAGTCTGTATAAACAGATATTTAACCAAAGAATTTCTTTAAAGAGATTTTATTTCTCTTCCAATTTGAATTTTTCCGTGTTTTGCAAAAGCCTTTAACATAAAACCTGCTCATCCTTTTTTAAATGATCGACACGAAGCCTCCTGTGAGGTTTTTAAGGTCTAGTCTGCACATTCCTGCAGTTAATGATCGACAAACTCGGCCTCTGACATTTTCATGATTACGTGCTTACAGAGTTTCCACCCACACTTCAGTGCGAGCTTTAAAAAATAAACCAGAATCTGTGTTTGTGCAGCTTCGCACAGGGTGAAGCTGCAGGTGGAGGCCTGAGAGCTGACCCAGAGTCACACCAACCACAAACAGGAGTTCTCACACACACAAACACTTCAGATATACTAACAATAACCCAAACCACAACAGTGACACCTCCCATCATAATAATGAAGCTGCTTACCTGCAACTCTCATTCTAACTTCCTGTCCCTTGACGCAGGTACAAACAGAGCGAGCAGCTCTCAGACGGGAGCCTGCACCGAGCAGCCCTGAGAGAGAGAGCTACGTTTCACGGCTAAGATTAGACGACTTCCTCAGATGACAGCCAAACGATCCGAGTCCTATAAGAGGAAACAGGACTTTAAGGCCGTTTGGGTGGAACGACCCCTCCGCTGGGCCTCCAGGTGAAGCGC